TTGGGTATGTATGAGGTTGCCTCTTCTTGGTGCATGAAAATTGACTCTCTCCCTCTCATCTTAATTCCGGTGGGGTCCCCATCTCCTCCTCGGCCAGCCTCGGCCAGGAAACTCTCGCTCCTTTATTAACTGATTAAAGTCTCCTTCGCCAGAGAAATGGAGCCTTTAGTCCTTCTGGAAAAAGAAGGGAGCTGGCCTATTTTTTTTCCTCTCCTTTTCTTTCTTTGAGAGTTTAGGATGATGCTACAAGTTTGTTAAAGGGAAGTACCGGGGAAAAAAAAAAAAAAAAAAAAAAAAAAAAGGGTTTCTGAGATTGTTTATTACAGCCATAAATCTTGCAGTAAAATGTCGAAATGGCCGTGTGCAAGATAACACTTGGTGGTCTTGGCTGGGTTCTTGTTTATGATAACAAAACCACAAAGACATGGAACAGGCCTTTTGGAGGTCCTTCCTCAGCACATCTTCGCAGACTAATAGAACCACACGAAAAACCCAGAGTTCAGCCGAGCAGCTCAGGTCACCTTGCAGATTTACAGTCATATATACAAAAATCGCATCCTTCTCTCTGTAACCCAGCGCCAGAGCCCAACGGTAGAAAGAGACGCGGTGAAACAAGTAATACTTTGAGATCTAATCACGGTAAATAATACGAACCAGAGCCCGGTCAGCTCTCCCGATATAGCGCTGGGCTTACAAACCGAGGCACCACTTTTCGTTGTGTTTCCCGGCGGCTCGGGAGCACGGCAGCCTGCTGTGCTGCTCCGGCCGTGGTGTCTCAGGACTTGTGCCGAGGATAATATTTACGATAAGCCAGTGTAATTCATCTGGTGCTGGCCGGCAGGTATTTGTACGTGTGTGTCTGTATGTCTGCATGTATCTCTCCACGCCGGGAAAATGCTCTCTGCTCGTGGTTGGGCTTTGGCCATCAATTTATTTTTTATTTTTTTTTTTCAGTCGTGTAGGTGGGAATTTTATTATTTTACAACATGGGTCGCTGTTGTTTTTTGGGGTGGGGTTTTTTTGGGGGGTTGTTGAGTTGGTTTTTTTTTTAAATATAAATAAAACAATCTCCCCTTTCCTGTCGAATGTGTGTTGTTGAACAGTTGCGGCTGTCTCTGTGTGCGTGTGTGTAACCGCATTTCCTCTCCATGCAGAGTAAATAGAGAAACTTATCTATTACCCCAGTTAAAGAGTTCCATAGATGTGCTGTTGGAAATGAGTAAGTAAATGTGTTTTAACTCTCTTTACAAATTAGACATTCGATAGGAGGAGGAAATGAGTGATTGTTTAGATAAGTACCCCAGTATAGCCAAGTGCTGGAAATGTTCTAACATATTACAAGCCGCCTGCAATGTGCGTGCGTGTGTGTGTGTATAAAATATAAATCGATACGATGTGTGTCTTGTTAGATAGAATATATATTCAAATAGAATTTTATTGCATGTATCCATTATCTATGAAACTGCAAAAGACAATAATCTGAATTTAAACCAGGGTAACTGTTAATGTAATATCTTTAGGAGGGCAAGATCTAAAACGTATCGTATTTACGCTTGATATATTAGATGTATTTTCCCATACCAGCAGATGAGATTACCCACTCAGCAATTATATTCTCGAAGGGTGCGGTAAATATTTCTATGTGTTTATGTGCTTTCCTGTAAAGAAGGGGGGGGCAAAAAAAATCCGAAAAGTTCGCTTCTAACTCCGAATGTACCAGACTAGCTGACGTTCAATAAGTATTTTTTTCCCCCTAGAATAAGAGCGTAATTAGTTTAACCATCAAATTTCAATTACCTAAGGTCAGGGCTGCTGCCTCTTTTCCCTCTGAGCTGCAAACATCGTTAACAGCCCCAGTTTTAGCACCGCAGAAGTGCCCGCCCGCCCTCTCCCTCCTACTCCAGGCTCTCCCAGTTACTTCTGCGAAGGCGCTAGCGATTTCTCGTGGAGTTGAAAATTAAGAAATAAAGCCCAGACGAGGCACACCAAACCGACGTACTTAAATTCGTAGTTTGGAAACCGCTGCTCGGCGGGGATGGAGGGGGGTGAGTGAGTGGGTGGGGGATGCTCGCCGTGAGCCCTGCCATCCCCGGTAGGAAGTATTTGATACCGTCGCGTCCGCCTTCCCCTCGCTCCCTTCCCCCTCTCCTCCCCGTTATTTCCAGGCTGGCTATAAACCCTCGCACCCCGCAAGCCACTCCAGGACTCTCCTCGGCCTCCCCCGCCACCTTCGCAACTAACTTTTGCGTCTATTCCTCCCGTTAGCACGGCTCCGGAGGTGCAAAGGGCTACTAGCCCCCGGTGCTCCCCGCCACCCGCGTCCGCAGCGGCAGGGGCGCCCCGGGACAAACCCCGGAGGGGCTCCCCCGACGGCCTGTTCCCCAGCAGCCGCTGCCGCCCTCTGCCTGCGCGCAGCCCCCGGCTCCAGGCGTTTGGAGAAAAGCTTGTTTAAATGTATTGTGCAACGCCTTGTGCAATGCAATGCCTCCCCCCACCCGGATCACGCAGCTGGGCTGCGCTCCCCTTCCTACGCTATCCCGCGGGGGAACGGAGAAACAAAAAAAAAAGTGCTGGGG